CGTCTATTTCTGCTTGTCTGGGAGCAAGAAGTGATGGGGAGGACTACTTTCTCTGGGCTAATATCCTCTTTTAATTTCCCCTGGAGTCCTAAATTATTTTTTATTTTTCTTCACCTCAGGATATGAAATAACTTTTGTGTTGCCCTCAACTTTTGTTACGAGACTCCACTTTTAACTCTCATCTACTTCTGAGATGGCTCATCAATCTAACTGCATTGTTTTGAGTCTTCCTTTCATTCCTCATAGTTGCTGGTTCATTAGAAATTCCATTTTTGTTTTTAAGCACTGGTCAAAATCCTACTTAAATCTTTATTATCACTTCTAGGATTTGGTAGGGGCAGGGTTGGGGAGTATAGAGAGAAGAAATGACATCTGTACTCAGTGTGCCATAGTAAACATTCAAAGCCCAGAGGTTCCATTTTCTTCCTTACAGTTGTCTGAATTTTTTCACAGAGAATGTACAGCTTTTGAATCAGAAAAATACTGATTAATGTACCATCATTTCAGAATAAAAGAATAAAAAGAAGAGGAGGCCAACTTCTCAGATGCTTGCCTACCATTTCAGCCAACTCAGTGAATCACTCACTTGGAGTATTCTCTTACGGTGTCCATATTCTTTGTTTTTCTTGAATGTAGTGAGTCATACAAGGGATACATCAGTGTAATTTGCTTTTGGTATTTGGACAAAACCTGCTATTTGTTTGCTATGTTGGCTTCACCCTTTAAACTCAATAGCTGAAAACCTTCTTCTGTGACATTTTTTGGGCATTCCTAAATATTTAGATGAAAAAATGATCACGTGATACCACAGGTTATTAGCTCTAATCAGTCTAACAGCATCAGTAATCTGAATAAAGAGAGTCATTTGGATTTTTAAAAATTTGAAAATGCATTGTCAAATATAGTTAGTCATTCTCTCACTTAGAGTTAGCTTTATATGCTTTATTTGTTGAAATTCTGTCAGTCAATTAAAATATACATTATATTTATTATTGAAAGAGCAAAATGCAATAATAAATTTATGATAATTGTGAGAGTTGTTAATTTTCTGGACAAACAAGAGTTTTATGTAGTAAAATAAATGAGAAAAGAAATGAATATTTCACATAAATATAAGAGATGGTGTGTTGGTTATTAGATAGCTTTAGAAAGTATATTATGTCCTTGTAGAGTCAATAAATATTTATAAAATTAAAATCGTTTGGCAATATTGAGCTAGTTTTAAGCACTGTATTAATTTTTAGCTTCTTAATTCCACTTAAGCAGTGAATTTTTTGAACTTTTCTAGATGAATTTACAGCAGAATTCTAATTTGCCACCAAAATCATAACAGATAACATCCAGGATAAATTATTTTTAATCCATATTTAACAAAAAGTATGAAGAAAAAAGTTAGAGAAAAATAAGGTGTTTTCCCCCCAAGATATTTTGCTGCTCCACCAATCTCAGTTTCTCAGTTGAAAAGTGAACATGTCTCACTCATAGGTGGGAACTGAACAATGAGATCACTTGGACTCGGGAAGGGGAATATCACACACCGGGGCCTATCATGGGGAGCGGGGAGGGGGGAGGGATTGCATTGGGAGTTATACCTGATGTAAATGATGAGTTGATGGGTGCTGATGAGTTGATGGGTGCAGCACACCAACATGGCACAAGTGTACATAGGTAACAAACCTGCATGTTATGCACATGTACCCTAGGACTTAAAGTATAATCATAATAATAAAAAAAAAAAATAAAACATTTAAAAACATTAAAAAAAAAAAAGAAAAGTGAACATGTACCTGGTATCATGAATATGTGTTTTAATGACTGCTAGAAGACTCTAGAAGCTGACAATGAAGACTAAATGTTCTTCCTCTAAGAATTCAAATGTTGAAACTCAATTACTAAATGTTTAATAATTAAATTTCATTGTTTTAAAACAAGATTTCAATTTTATTTTGGTAACACAGGAAAACAGTCTGTTGATATTGGGCTTCAGCTCTGACTTCAGCTGAACACAGATTTTTAACTCTCACGCATTGAGCATTTGGTCAAAATGTATATTAGATGCACTTCTATTCATTAACATTATTACAAAACTAAAAAGAATTGAACAGAACAGACTAGAATGAGAAACATCAAAATGCATTGCATGCAGTAAGGCTAAGTACTGTTTTGTGACTGTTGCATTTTAGTTTGTATATGTGTGTATAACACACATACTGGGTTATGTGATAACATGCATTTTTGTACTGAGAGCCATGGATCATGGGAAAGAGATTAACATTTGCTGATCTAGTAGGAAAAAAAAAGATGCTCAGTTTGGAGCAGGAGGATAGGCATTAACTTCTGGAATTGCTAAGAAAAGAAAATAATGCAAAGTTTTGGAAATGTTCTTTTGTAAGGAACCAAAATAATATGACCTGCAGACTTAATAAAAGATGCAATAGCAATTAGAAGTTAAAGGTAGGTGGGAGGAAGGTAGGAGTCAAAATTACTTAGTAAAATAATATAAAATGGCCAAGAAAAATCAGAGAGATAAACATATATGGACTATGTTAGCTAATAGCAGTGATGATAATGATAATAATACATAATATTTCTTAACACTTTTTCCAGTTATCACAGCAATTTCTACTGTGGTTATTCTAGTGTAGTTGATTCTTACAATAACCTGACAGAAAAAAGCAGAGTAACAACTGGTAACTCCATTTTGCAGATAAGGAAAGATTCACTTTATGGGGAGTGTAGCTGTTTTACTCTAACAAGAATAAAGAATATCTGACCCTGCTTCATAATATTTTTATACTTATTATTTCATGCATTTGACAATAAACTTTGAATATAAGTTTTATAGGTGAGAAAACTGAGGCTCAAAGAAATTAAATAGTTAATTCAAATATATACGGTATATAAAATTAGAGCCTGGCCTGAAAATAGAGTATTTTTCTTCAAATGGTTATGTTCTTTCCACTTCATTCTGCTGATCTCTCAAGACTTCTGCCTAATATTTTAAGTAACTAAGTTTACAAATATAGATTATCTATTACTGAGAAGGCTGACAGCATAGGGCAGCATTTTTGAGGCTACAATTTGAAATAAAAATAAGATATTTGTATTTACTGAGTAAAAGTAAAAGTGACCATTGGCAATTACAGGGTAACTTCATTTTGGATTATCTTGCATTTCACCATAAATTTCCTCAAAAATGTAGTTGAATCTTTGTAAGACTAAACCATAATGGGCTATTTGAGAAATTAAGATATTTGAACACAGCCCTAACTTTGTATTAACATAAAGGAGAATGTGTCCTATGAAAAATTCATCACTTGGTACAAGTGAGACACTAAACAGCAGGTGTAACTGTCCACTTAGGTAAGACTTCACCCAGTTACAACATCACACACTACCCATTTCATGCTTTCATTCATAAAGACATTATGGGAAATGTTCATTATGGTCATTTATATCAATATGTGTTTGGAGGTTGTGATGTGAAGGAGTAAAAGGAGTGCTTTTGTTTCTTTGTGGGTATCTCATCAGAGGGTTCATAAAAATAGGGGTGTTCAGGTTGTTATTTCAAAGTGAGCCAGAGAACACTCTGATGAGTGGGCAGTGAGGGCATCAGTAGGAGATTCTCATTAACAATAAGCTGTATTAAGGCATGAGAATAAAATGGGAAACCATCAGTCACTAGGTATTGTTGGATTGTGCGCTACGTGGATGTGGATGACAGACTGTAGGGAAAGGAGCTGATGGAAGTGGAGATGACTGGTGAAGCATGGTGTATTAGTTCACATCCTAGAGGATTTTAAGTGGTAGGATTGATGGTTTGATGAGTCTTTTTCTTTTGTTGAATTATTGAGTTGCCAGATGGCTACATTCTCCTTACCCATTTAATCCTCTGAAATCTCTCATTCTATTAATCCATGATCTATGCTCTAGATTCCCTCTTTGACTCTCATCCACTAGTTGCTTCTTTCTCTTCTGTAAGGATTTCTAAAGGCAAATTTTAATTCCTTTACCCTGGGTTCAGACACTCATATACAATATCACCAACAACCTTTGTATATTCTCATAAAATAAATGCCAATATGATCACTTGGTGCTACCTCTTTTACTCTATCACCAACGGGTTTTAGTTACTTTCCAAAAATATTTCTAAAACAGGATCCTGAAAACTTAGATATCCATTTTCTCATATGGTCAACTTGGAACTTATATAAAAAAGACCCAGACTTCAAGGGCTGCTGAATTTTATAGATGCTTATTATCTCTGATACGCATTTTATTTATAGTGTCTAGTCGATTTAAAAAACCTTAAATTTCCCGTAAAGAAATTAATTCAATTAGGTGTTAAATCTACTTAGCCCTAAATGGGTAAGGGGAAACACCACATCCAAAAAGCAGTGTTATAGAATATATTTAAAACTTGAACCGGCTGGTCACGGTGGCTCACGCCTGTAATCCCAGCACTTTGGGAGGCCGAGTCAGGCAGATCATGAGGTCAGAAGATCGAGACCATCCTGGCTAACATGGTGAAACCCTGTCTCTACTAAAATTTAAAAAAAAATAAATAAATAACCAGGCGTGGTGGTAGGCTCCTGTAGTCCCAGCTACTTGGGAGGCCGAGGCAGAAGAATGGCCTGAACCCAGGAGTCGGAGCTAGCAGTGAGCCGAGATGGCGAGTGTCACTGCACTCTAGCCTGGGCGACAGAGTGAGCGAGCGAGACTCTGTCTCAAAAAAACAAACAAACAAAAAAAAGCAAAAAACAACAACCAAAAAAACTTGAACCTTGCCCTAGAGCAGCCTTCCCTTCATTAACTCTGTTTGCTCTCCTGATTTCATTCTGTCCCTTGCTGCCCACACAACCCTTCTACTTTCCAACACCACTGAGTTCTTTCTTCTGCATTTGTACCCTATAATATCCCCATTCTCTTATGAGATGGAGACCTGCTGTGTTTTGGAGAACCTTCCCCCTTCTCAAATGGCTGAATGCTTTTGTTTTCTCCTCCTCTTGCCCAACCACTGCTTGATAGGCTTCAAATTTTTAACTCTATTGACCGTGCACACTGTTCCACTTTTTCTTCTCTAAAAAATCTTCTAAGATTCTATTTGAAATGGGCCTATTCTGTTAGGAGAGTTTTTGACCTATCTCTCTGCACAGAGCGTCTTTGACCTCCTTGTTCCTCAGAGTGTACACCACAGGGTTCAGTAGCGGGGTAATGACAGTGTAGGTCACTGATATCAGCTGATCCTGATCTCTGGTGTTCTCTGAGTTGAGTTTGAAGTAGGCAATGGAGACACAACTGTGGTGGACAATAACCACAGTAATATGAGAAGCACAGGTGGCAAAGTCCTTTTTCCTGCCTTCAGCAGATGCAATCTTGAGGATGGTAGAAATGATGAGGATGTAGGAGATGAAAACCAAGCCCTTGGGAATGAGGATCACCAGCACACTGATGGTCATAGTCAGGATTTCATTGACTGTGGTGTCAATGCAGGAGAGCTTCATCACAGGTCGGATGACACAGAAGAAGTGGAGCACCTTTGGAATACAGAAAGGCAGCCTGAATACAGCTGACATGTGTGTCATTGCTACAATTAGGCCAATGCTGCAGGCCTCCCACACCAGCTGCATACACACACTCTTGCTCATGACGACTGAGCAACTGAGTACCTCAAGGGGTTGCAGATGGCCACATAGCAGTCATACCCCATTGCTGTGAGCAGGAAGCAGTTGTTGATAGCCAAAGTAAGAAGAAAAACATTTGAGTGGCACAACCTGCCAAGGAAATGGGCTGACTCAGGCCTATGAGGTTAAAGAGCATCGTTGGTATAATGACAAAGGTGTAGACAGTCTCTGGACCTGACAGCATGCCGAGGAAGAAGTACATAGGGGTGTGGAGGTGATAATCAATACTAATGATACTCACAATGATAACATTGCCTGCCAGAGTGAATATGTACAATGTAAGAAACACAACAAAGAGGGTGAGCTTGTGCTCACGGAAGCTGGAGAAACCTTGAAAAAAAAACACACTCACCAAAGAATGATTCTCTTTCTTCGTTAAATCACACATGATATCTAAGAAAGAAAAAAATAATGTAAGGAAACCAGATGGATGATTTCTGTCAAATAATAGACTGGGAAAATTCCTGTGATTAATACACCTTAGGTCTCTGCTTTTTTATGTTGACATTCATACTTATTTCTTTTAGGAGTAGAGAGTGCAGAAACGTTCTTTCCTTATTCAGAAGAAAGTACAAGGTTTTTAAAGTCAAATGTTGCAAACTAATTTCCTAGTTCTAGTATATGCTAACTTATCTTGGGCAAGGACTTATCATTTGTAAGACCAATTTTCTCATCTTTATGGATGTAAGAGTGATAACATCATAGAATTGTTGATGGAAAAATCATATACTAATTATAATACTCATATTTGAATTTTAAAAACAACATTGAATAAATGTGAGTTCAGTGGTATCATGCAGAACTCCAGGCTCCATAAACTACCTGATAATTTTTGAGCTTCTAAAGTTTGAATAGAGCCTGTGTTACTGTAATTTCCACACTGCATTTTCATTCCATTATTTTGACTCTGATGATATTGCTCCTCTCAACTCTGTTCTATGCTCTTCTTCCCTAGACACCACTCATTTTTCAAAGCCAAATAAAACCCATGTCCTCTAGAAAATCTTTTTCTCCTTGTTTGAACCCGGGAGGTGGAGGTAGCAGTGAGCCAAGTTCATGCCACAGACTCCAGCTTGGGCAACAGAGGGAGACTCCATCTCAAAAAAAAAAAAAAAAAAAATCTTTTTCTCCTTTCTCTCTCTCTCTCTGGGGCCTATATATCTCTGCACATGTAGGTGGCATAGAACTGTTTACTGGTTTTTAAATTTTTATATTGTAAGACCCTTACAGTGAAATTGCGATTACAAAATATTTTTGCATACATTATTTAATCTTACTAACATCCAATGGAGCAGGGAGGACAACGATGAACTGTTTCTCTCTAGATGCAAAAACTGAAGAACAGCTCTGGTTAGGCAATTATTTTTAGACAGACAGGTGTCAAAGGATTAAATCAAGATTGGAATTCAAATCTTTTGACCCTATGTCCATTGTTCCTTCCACTACACAAAACTGCATTATAAAACCGTCCCCTCTATAGCTAAACAGGGACCACGTATTCCCTCTTTTTATGACCCCAGGTTGGCCACTCCGCTATAGCGGACAAATATCTTCTGGTAGAATCATTATGAGTCATTGCTCCTTCACACAAATTCTCTATTAGAAAGTAGAATACTGGAGCATTATAATGATTTTCTTTTCAAAGAGAAGGCATAAATGTTTTTAATCTTTGACTTTTTATGATGTCTAGGTCTGTGATAGCAACAAACAACTAAATAATTTTAACATTGGAATTATAACACTAGAAGAAAGTATGACATTATTAACAAGTAATTGAAAAATACCCTGGTAATAAAACTTTTCTAGTAGCCTTTACCTTATCAGTAATCACTATATAATAGCATAATAGGTTCATTGTAAAAAAGATAAATTTAGAAATGTAATGATGGAATTGCTTCAAAAGTACAATTTGTTGGAAGTAAAGCAAATGAATCCACATCACAAAATGATTTACTACTGGGTGAATTTCAAAGGTAAGCTTCTTTAGTGCTTTTAAAATTAAATTCAATTTGTCTATTTTTCAGAAATATACCCCTTTTCATAGAAAATCTACAAAAAGTATTTATAAGAAATTGGTGCATGGTTGTGCTTCAGCTCTTCAGTGCATGATATGAAAGAAAATCAGATGAGGTTGCAAAAAATAAATTTTGTGTTAGACATCGGAGACCATTTCTTGACAGGAAAAGTTGTTTGTGATGTGTGCAGCATGGTAAGTAACTGTAAACATTCTTTATGAAGCTTTCTAAACTGTGTCTCTGTGGACTATGGATTGTCTGAAGATAAGAATATAGACAAGGGAGCATGCATAGCTGATAAGTGGCAGAGCCACATTCCTTATTATCATGTTAATCAAGGCACTCTTTAATCCTGATAAATTTTTGTTCTTTAGGATTAACAGGAGATCCTTGAAAGCAATAAATCAAGGAAAACCCAAATATTCATAGACATCAGGATTCTTTCCAGCTTAATATAATTTGCCCTTTAACGATGATTTTAAAAACCCTCATGCATGTATTTTATTTCTTATAAAGCTCCTTCTGCTAAACATTAAAGTCTCTTTCCAAATCACTTACTTCTCTTCCTGCAAATCTGTGGCTCAATCGAAAAATTGAGGTAGAGGTCAGAGATGTGACCCCTTGATCACAAGTATTCACAAATCAAGATCATGAAGAAAAGGCAACTGAATGTGGTCCTTCCATCTGCTGTAGGACCAGTCTAGGGATGGAGGTCAAAGGACAGTTACAGGGGGCTCTTTGGATACTGGATATTTCCTCCAGCTTGAGGAGGACCTTTGGATGCCAAAGAAAGGCTCTCTGATGAATAGCTTTCTGGGTTTCAGGGTTTCTCGGCGTCATTCACTGAGCACTCTTTAAGAGTCACCCTGTGACTAAAAGGAAGCAGACTGCCAGTACCAGGGAACCTCGTTAAGTGTGCGGCACATTTACCAGATTATATGAACTTGTACTTTGGCAGACTTGACGCAGTTTTCACTGCAAGTAGAAATAGCAGTGGCTTATTTGTCATGTTTTATTTTTTAAATAAATATTCTATTTTTATACAGTTGAGCCTCGGAAAACCATGGTTACGAAGCCCAAGTGAGCTCTAGCTAAGAGCACTGTCTTGGATTCCAGGAAACCCTGCAGCTCTTTCTATCGTTAAAAGCCTTGTTCAATATTATAAGCTGTGCTTTTTTTCTTCTTCTCTGAACTAAAAAACCCTCAATTTTGGCCAGTTTTTGTCCTGTAGGATTCAGATATGGAAGATCAAAACTCATTAGACAATAGAACTCTCTCTAGAAGGCCAGGAGGCCACTTTAGTGCTCCAAAAACATGAACCAGGACTTCATCCCAAGGGGCCATCAGGCAAATGGTTACATACACTGGGTTTCATGAGCCAAATCTGGGGTTGTCCCCACACTGGTTTTCCTGCCACAACCCTCGGTACTTTATTCTTTTTTTTTTTTAATTTTATGTCTATCTCATCACGAATTCTGCCAATTCTCCTCCAAGTTAATTTTTCTGTACTTGGCCAAAAATAAGGTAGCTGCATTAATATCTTAATAAACTTGAAAAATGCTCCTTATACTGACTTTTTTTCATTTGTGTTTTATATTTCTTATTTGTCATAACTTAAAAGAAATAATTTTTAGGAACAAATTCCTGCTCGGTTGCCCAGGCTGGAGTGCAGTGGAGCAATCATAGTTCACTACAGTCTCAACCTCCTGGGCTCAAGCTATCCTCCTGCCTTGGCCTTCTGAGTAGCTAGGACTACAGGTGTGTGCCACCATACTCAGCTAAATTTAAAAAAAAATTAGAAAGGGGGTCTCATTATACTACACAGTCTGGTCTCAAACTCCTGGCCTCAAGTGATCCTCCTGCCTCAGCCTCTCAAAGCACTGGGATTACAGGCATGAGACACCACACTCAGCCTGTGGTAAGTTTTAGATCTAAAAAATTATAAAATCAAGATGTTTATAGCAAATATAAGAATGTTAATAGCATTTGCTTTTACTCCTATTAGTTCATAGACACAAGAAAATATTGGCCAAACTGGAGAAACCTCCAATATTTATAATTCAATTATCATTGATAAAGTTAACATCCCAAATTTTTCCTTATTGTTTGCAGCTGAGTAGTACCTTCATATGCACTAAAACCTGCACTATCTTGGGGGTCAAATTATGATTGGATCATTCATTTTTGTGTCATTCTGTTGATTAAACATGTGGTTTTCTTTATCTGCTTTAGTGAGAGAGGGGCCAAACTGTTACCCTAGTTATCATTAAAGACACATATCTGCACGGAGGCATAAAGAGGCTCCCTCCCCTAGACAGGAAGTAGATATAAAGCCCCTTTGAGCAGAGAAAATTAGGACAGCTTTATCAACACAGAAAAAGGATAGAGAGAACTTTGTATTGTAGCAATCTGAACTTCCTATCAATAGATTAGGAGGCCATCTTGGGGGTGAATGTACTAATAACCTTATTTGCCAGTAAAGGGCTGTCCTTTCATGTTTCAAGGGTTTAATATGAAATCTAGCCAAATTCTGTGTTTACAAATAACCAGGAAAATGAAGGACAGTAGGCAGGGGTCTGTTAGGAGTTTGATGGTCAAATAACTTCTAACTCCTATTTGGCAGGTTTCTCAAGGTCTGGCTGTATAAACAACTCACAGGGCTGAGAACCAGGAAGTGCAGTATCTCTGGGATCTATGCTTGATGCCTCTACCTCTGCTTAGCACTGAGTATGTAGGACTGTCCCCGTGCATAAGCATAGCTGCCTATGTCCATAATTGCTTGTACTGTAACCCAGATGTCCTAGTCATCTACTGTTGCATAACACAGTACCCTAAACTTACGAGCATAAAGCAACAACAATCATTTGTAATTACCTCTCTAGGGGTGATTGATTTCAACTTGGCTATTCTCACTTAGAGTCTCTCATGCAATTTTGGTCAGGAGATAGATGGAGCTTGCACACTCACATGCCAGTCAGCTGATA